TTGTTAAATTGATAAAAGTAGTTATAGTACTAGGAGTCATAGTTTAGCTACTGCTTGATTTATAAAGAGATAATAGATTCTAAGTATGTGAGGGCTGAGACAAGGTAGGAGGTGTATAGAGAAAATATGTAGAACATATACAAGAATGCATTTGCAAAACAGAATAAGTAGGGATCCACAAGGAATCTGTGATTCCCAAATAATTTAGGTTAAAGGGATAGGCAGACAGGCAGCTTATGCTGTAATCCTAGCTTTGGAGCCGAAGACAATAGAATCCTTTGAGGCCAGGAGTTTGAGACTAGCCTAGGCAAGCAAGACCCCCAACTCAACAAAACTTTTTAAATTAGCGTGTTTGGCGATGCTGTTAGTCTATAACCAGCAGGGGTATTACAAGTTCAAGGCTGCAGATATAATCATGCATGTACTCCAGCCTGGGCAACAGGACAAGATCCTGTCGTAAAAATGATTAAAATTTTAATTTTAAAACAATTATAGAGGTGAATAAGAGAACATGTGAAGATGTTACCAGGAGTTGAGTTGTGAACTAGTGACGCCAGGCACACTCTACCTGTACACAAAGGTGAACTCTGCTCAAAAAAAAAAAAAAAGAAGAAAAACATGTATAGCACTTCTTGTATTGTCGGATAGACTGAACATCTGACTAAGTGAAGTATCCTCAGAATGGAAAACCAAGCACCACATGTACTCAACAGCAATTAGTATTAACGGATAACCACCTAAGTGCACATCATAGAAGATAACATTATATGGGTGTCGGGCAGGTGGGAGGGGGAAGGAGGAGGGGATGGGTATATACATTAATGAGTGTGACACGCACCACCTGGGCGATGGACACGCTTGAAGCTCTGACTCGGTGAGGGGAGGCAAGGCAACATACATAACCTAAACATTTGTACCCCCATAATATACTGAAATAAAAAAAAGTATAACTTTTTCTTCCTTTTTTGGTATTTTTATATTTTGTACTTCCATTATATCATAAACCCCTTAAAACGTTATTGCTGTTTCAAATAGTCATTCTTGGCCGCGTGGGGGCACGCCTGTAATCCTACACTCTGGAGCTGAGTGTGGCGGATTGCTTCAGCGAGTTCGAAACCCAGCCTGAGCAAGAGCGAACTGTCTCTTACTATAAATGGAAGAAATTAATTGGCCAACTAATATATTTAAAAAATTAGCTGGGCATGGTGAGTGCATGCCTGTCATCCCAGCTACTCGGGAGGCTACAGTAGGATGCTGAGCCCAGGGGAGTTTTGAGGTTGCTTGTGAGTTAGGGACGCCATGTGCACTCTAGCCTGGGCAACAAGCGAGACTCTGTCTCAAAAAAAAATTAAGTCATTCTTTTTTTTTTTTCAGTTTATTGAGGTAAATTAATAATATTTGTATATATGCAAAGCAATGACTTTAAAGAAAAAGAAAAGTGTACAATGTTGATGATTTGATACACATATGCATTGTGTAATGATACACAATCAATTTGTTATCCTTCAACATACCAGTATTTGTGTGTGGCACAATGTGTATTAGGTAAAGTGAGGACACAAGATCCACTCTCAGCAAATTTCAAGTAAACAATACAGCATTAACTATAATCATCATGCTGTATGTTAGATCCCCAGAATTTCCTCATCTTACTATAAGTTTGTGCTCTCTGACCAACATCTCCCCACTGTCCTATCCTCAGCCCCTGGCCACAACCATTCTACTCTCTGCTTCTGTGATTCAATTTTTAGATCTACACTAAGTAAGACAACAGGTATTGTCTTTGTGTCTGATTTATTTCACGTAGCATAATGTTCTTCAGGTTCATCTAAGTTGTCATAATTGGCATGATATCATTTTTATGGCTGAATATGGTATTATATACATATATATACTACATTTTCTTTGTCCATTGACAGACACTTAGGTTATTTCCATATCTTGGCTATTGTGAATGCTGCTGCAATGAACATGGGAGTGCAGATGTCTCTTTAGCATACTGATTTCATTTCCTTTGGATATATACCCAAAAGTGGGGCTGCTGGATCATATGGTGGTTCTATTATATATATATATTTCATTTTTGAGGCAGAGTCTCACTCTGTTGCCTGGGCTAGAGTGCCGTGGCATCAGCCTAGCTCACAGCAACCTCAAACTCTGGCTCAAGCAGATCCTTCTGCCTCAGCTCCCGAGTAGCTGGACTACAGGCACGACTACCATGCCGGATAATTTTTATATATATATATTTAGTTGTCCAGATAATTTCTATTTTTTTTAGTAGAAATGTCGTCTCGCTCTTAGGCTGGTCCTGAGCTCAAACTCCTGAGCTCAAAGGATCCTCTGCCTCAGCCTCGCAGAGTGCTGAGATTACAGGCATGAGCCTCTATTTTTCAACCTACTGCCTCAGCCTCCTGAGTAGCTGGGACTACAGGCATGTGCCACCATGCTCGGATAATTTTTTGTATATATATTTTTAGTTAATTAATTTCTTTCTATTTTTTTTTTTAGTAGAGACGGGGTCTCAGGCTGGTTTCAAACTCCTGACCTCGAGCAATCTGCCTGCCTCAGCCTCCCAGAGTGCTAGGATTACAGGCGTGAGCCACCACACCCAGCCTCTTTTAGCTATTTTGAATTATGTAATACATTATCATTAACTATAGTCACCATACTGTGCAATAGATCACCAGAACTCAGTTTCAATTAGACAAGAGGAATGAGTTCCTCAGATAGAACTCTAGCTCCTTGCCCTGTAGCACATAGCCACACTGGCCTGGTTTTGATGCAATGCACACAAGAATCTTGTCCCGCTGGAACTGCTCCTTCAGGAGACTTCTGATTTTGGCATTCTTTTTCCTTTCATCATATTTCTTCTGAATATTTTTGGATTGTTTTAATTTAAAATTTCTTCTTCCTTGGGAGTCTGTTTGGCCCCCTTCTTGCAGCCCAGGGGCAATGCACAGTGGGACTTGTATCGCTGTTGGTGCAGTGTGCTGTTATTAAGCATAATGCAGTTCTTCACCAGGGTCTTGGTGCAGACCAGATTATTATTGGACACAATGTAGACAACATCAGTGATCCTTGTTTTGTGAGTACAACACTCTGAGCCCCAAGAGAAGTTCCCTGTGTCTAGCCTCAGGGCACAGTATTTCTTGTTACCTCCACACACATGTATTTGATGAGGGCCAATCTTAATGTTAGCAGTGGGGCATCCCAGCTCATACTTCACTTCTTGTGGTAAGGCTTTCTTTTGCCCCTGGTCTTGCAGTGTTTGTTCCAGTTGTCCCGAGAGATGCCCGTTGCTTAGCCAGAAGCTTTTTAGTTTGATGCAATCTCATTTCTCTATTTTTGCTTTTGTTGCCTGTGCTTTTAGGGTCATGTCCAAGTAATCATTACTTATGGAATGGAATGTTCCTAACACAAAGAAATGATAAATGTCTAAGGTGATAGATATCCCAATTACCCTGATTCAATTAATACACATTGTATGCCTGTACCAAAATATCACATGTATCCTATAAATATATACAATCATTATGTGCCCATAATTAAAAATATTAAAAAAAACAAAACAAAACAGTGATATCTTTGTAAAGAAAAAGATAAAGAAAGAAATCACTGCCTAGATCAATGTCATGGAGCTTTTCTCCTATGTGTTCTTCTAGTGGTTTTACAGTGTCTGGTCTTACATTTGTCTTTAATCCATTTTGAGTTGATTCTTGTATAAAGAGTAAGATAAGGGTCTATTTTTATTCTTCTGCATGTGGATACCCAATTTTCTGAACACCATTTATTGAAGAAACTGTCCTTTCTCCATTGTGTATTCTTGACACCTTTGTCAAAAAGCAATTGATCATAAATGTGAGTTTATTTCTGAGCTTTTTATTCTATTCCACTGGTCAATGTATCTGTTTTTTATGCCAATACTATGCTGTTTTGATTACTATAGCTTTGTAATATATATTAAAATCCTGCAGTGTAAGGCCTCTACCCTAGTTCTTTTTGCTCAAGATGGCTTTGGCTATTTTGGGTCTTTCTACACTCTTTTAACTGGTGTATTAACTTCTTTTCTTTCAGCATTTAAAAAATGTTATGCTACTTCCTTCTGGCTTCCATGATGTCTGATGAGAAATCCATTGTTATTGTAATCTTTGTACCTCTATAGATAATGTGTCATTTTTCTCTGGCTGATTTCAAGTTATTTTCTTTGTCTTTAACTTTCAGAAATTTGATTATGAGGTGTCTAGTGTGAGGGGTTTTTTTACCTGTTTAACGTGTTTGGATTTGATCAGCTTTTTAAATCTGTAAATTTACCAATTTGGGAAAGTTTTCAGCTACTACTTGTCTCTGCAGTGGTTGGTGGGGAGAGGAAGGGATGCCAGTTCTAATCACCTTACTTCAGGGGAGGAGATGGCCAACAGGGTTCCATTTCACAGTGCCTGCAAGCCCAGGTGGGGAGGGGGACAGGAGCCAACTTTGCTTAGATTAGTGCAAGGCAGGGATTATCAATAGGGCTCTACCCCATACAGTTTCTGAGCTCCTAGTGGAGAGGAATAAAAGTGCCACCTCATTAATACAGAATGAGAATCATTGCCAGGGGATGTCCCACCATTTCCACATCTCTCAATGGGGAGGGAGATATGTCACTTTTTATGGTAGTCACTTGGAGTAGAGCAGGTATTGTCAAAAAGGAGAAGAATTCTATTTTAAAATAAAAATCCTTTCTCTCTAGTCATTAAGCCAGATAATCTTTCAAATCAGAGATATTGAGAATTTCTGGCAGTGATGTCAGAGCAGGTTGGAATTGCTGCTCCTGCAAATGATAATCAATGTAACTTTGTGAAATTTATGCAGTTATTCAAAATCAAATCTAAGAGTGTGATCAAAGGACCGATTTAATTTGGGAAGAATATTCCTGTTTTAGTCAAGTTCTAATTTAGTATCAACAATGGATATACCTACTTGCTCTTTTGTCTTACTGATCTTGTTTTTTCTGTTGGCAGGTATATCTGCAAGGCAATATGTGATAATGTGAGCATAGTACACATGGTGTCAAACTATGCTAAATTCAGCAATGTGGTGATGTATTCTTTGCATATGTAAAATGGAAACTAATGGAATTAACCTTGCATCATCTTCCTCAATGTAGTAAAGATAATTGTGTTTGCAAGCCCAGAATATTTATTTTAGTGACATTAAGAAGTATTGACTTAATTATCTACAGCGAATTAGGCACTGTGACAGAGACCATGGACAGGCTCCACGCAGATACAGTGTGGAACAACTTATCCTTTGTTCCTGCCATCACAGTGAGTATAGGGTACTAAGAAAGTAAAATATGAATGGTCACACAAATATACAATTCCAAACCATTCAAGGGAAGCATATTATGGGGGAAAATTGAGATTGTGAATTTAGATCAAGCCTCGTTTAAAAGTGAAGGCATCACACTCTGGGAGACCGAGATGGGCCGATCGCTCAAGGTCAGGAGTTCGAAACCAATGAGACCCCATCTCTACTATAAATAGAAAGAAATTAATTGGCCAACTAAAATATATAGAAAAAATTAGCAGGGCATGGTGGCACATGCCTGTAGTCCCAGCTACTCGGGAGGCTAAGGCAGAAGGATTAGTTGAGCCCAGGAGTTTGAGGTTGCTGTGAGCTAGGCTGATGCCATGGCACTCTAGCCTGGGCAACAGAATAAGACTTTGTCTCAAAACAAAAAACAAAACAAAAAAAAAGTGAACCATTTATACCAGTCAGTGTTCTTGCCTATAAGCAACCAAAAACACATTCTGTGAAATTTAAGCAAAAAAGGAATGTGTACAAAACACATAGAGGTTAAGAATTAGAGATGGTTAGAAGAGGCTTAGAATATAGATGGGAATAAAGGTGCTCATGACGGCTAGGAAATAGAAAATATATCAAATGCTAAAACCACAGGAAAGTTTCAATTTGCATATCACCATAGCCACTGTGATGGACATCCAAAGAGCTACCCAACTGTCCTTGTATCGCTAGCTAAGGATTTGGAGTTCTAGGGGAGAACAGTAACATTCAAGCCCGAGACACTGCTCTCCTGTCTTTGGGGAGGGTAGAAGAAAGATAATCAGAGAGGGGATCATACTCTCATGGGAATATCATCTCAACGAGAGATTTCCCCAGAGGGCAGTACCCACTGTCCCCTCTCTGTGGGAATAAACCTGAAGCTGTGACCAGCAGAATAAAGGAAAGGAAGCCCAATGAATGCTCTATGGAGAACAGGTTGAGTAGAGAAGACATCGCGTTAGGCATTATAAACACCTGGGAAAGGTGAGGCAGTCATGTGTTTGGTTTATTTCAGAGACAAAGTCAGTCTGTGGCTGAAATCAATGATGAGGAGTGTTGAGGAAGTGTCAAATTGTGAAGACATTTGCAGAATATAATCCAAATATTTAACACATACTAAGTACAATGGTAAGATTTTGAGTACTTTGGATTTTGTTTTGTTTTTAGCAATGTAGCAAAAAAAAAACAACCCCTTTTTAGACCTATGCTTTTAAAAGAAACTTTTCATTGCCTTTTGTAAAATTGATATAAAAGTAGTTATAGTGACTTAGGAGATCTAGTTAAGCTACTGTCTTGATTATAAGAGATAATAGATTCTAAAGGTAATGTGAGGGCAGTGGAGACCAAGGTAGAAGGTGATATAGAGGAAGAAATATGTAGAACCATATACAAAGAATGTCATTTGCCAAAGAAAACAGGAATAAGTAGGATCCCACAAGAATCTGTGATTCCCAAATAATTTAGGTTAAAGGGAGGTAGGCCAGACACGGCAGCTTATGCCTGTAATCCTAGCATTTGGGAAGCCGAGACAATAGAATCCTTTGAGGCCAGGAGTTTGAGACTAGCCTAGGCAACAAGACCCCCAACTCAACAAAACTTTTTAAAATTAGCGGGGTGTGTTGGCATGGGCCTGTAGTCTACTTGGGAAGCCAAGGCAGGAGGATCACTTGAGCCGAGAAGTTCAAGGCTGCAGTGAGCTATAATCATGCCACTGTACTCCAGCCTGGGCAACAGAGCAAGATCCTGCCTCTAAAAAATGAATTAAAAATTTTAAATTTTTAAAACAATTTATAGAGTACTATTCAGCTATAAGAAACAATGGAAGGATCGCTTGAGCCCAGGAGTTTGAGGTTGCTGTGAGAGCTAGGCTGACGCCAGGGCACTCACTCTAGCCTGGACAACAAAGTGAGACTCTGTCTCAAAAAAAAAAAAAAGAAGAAGAAACAATGGTGATCTAGCTCTTTGTATTTTCCCGGATAGAGCTGGAACCTATTCTACTAAGTGAAGTATCCCAAGAATGGAAAAACAAGCACCACATGTACTCACCAGCAAATTGGTATACGGATCAAACCCTAAGTGCAACTATAGAAATAACATTTATTGGGGTGTCGCGGGCAGCGTGGAGGGGGAAGGAGGAGGATGGGTATATACATAAATGAGGTGTGCACGCCACCTGGGCGATGGACACGCTTGGAAGCTCTGACTCGGTGAGCGGGAGCAAGGCAACATACATAACCTAAACATTTGTACCCCCATAATATACTGAAATAAAAAAAAGTATAACTTTTTCTTCCTTTTTTGGTATTTTTATATTTTGTACTTCCATTATATCATAAACCCCTTAAAACGTTATTGCTGTTTCAAATAGTCATTCTTGGCCAGGCGTGGTGGCTCACGCCTGTAATCCTAGCACTCTGGGAGGCTGAGGTGGGCGGATTGCTTGAGGTCAGGAGTTCGAACCAGCTCTGAGCAAGAGCTGAGACCTCTGTCTCTACTATAAATGGAAAGAAATTAATTGGCCAACTAATATATTTAGAAAAAATTAGCTGGGCATGGTGGTGCATGCCTGTCATCCCAGCTACTCGGGAGGCTGAGGCAGTAGGATTGCTTGAGCCCAGGAGTTTGAGGTTGCTGTGAGTTAGGCTGACGCCATGGCACTCTAGCCTGGGCAACAAAGCGAGACTCTGTCTCAAAAAAAAAAATTAAGTCATTCTTTTTTTTTTTTTCAGTTTTATTGAGGTATAATTAATAAATATTTGTATATATGCAAAGGCAATGACTTTAAAGAAAAAAGAAAAAGTGTACAATGTGATGATTTGATACACATATGCATTGTGTAATGATTACCACAATCAATTTAGTTATCCTTCACACATACCAAGTATTTGTGTGTGTGCACATGTGTATAGGGTAAAAGTGAGGACACAAGATCCACTCTCAGCAAATTTCAAGTAAACAATACAGCATTAACTATAATCATCATGCTGTATGTTAGATCCCCAGAATTTCCTCATCTTACTATAAGTTTGTGCTCTCTGACCAACATCTCCCCACTGTCCTATCCTCAGCCCCTGGACAACAACCATTTACTACCTCTGCTGTCTGTGGAGTTCAACTTTTTTACGATTCTACATATAAAGCTTAATGACCATACCTGTAACGTTTGTTCTTTGTGTTGATTTATTTCACGTAGCATAATTATCGTTCAGGTTCATCTAAGTTGTACATACAATTGCCATGATATCATTTGTATGGCTGGAATATGGTTTATATCATATATATAACCTAGCGATTTTCTTTGTCCATTGAAACTTAAAGGTTATTTCCTTATCTTGGTATTGGAATGCTGCTGCAATGAACATGGGGAGTGCAGATGTCCTTTAGCATACTGATTTCATTTCCTTTGGATATATACCCAAAAGTGGGGCTGCTGGATCATATGGGGTGACTTCTATTTACATATATAAGAGGATTCTATTTCATTTTTGAGGCTAGAGTCTCACTCTTGTTGCTGCGGCTAAGAGTGCCGTGGCTTCCAGCCTAGCTCACAGCAACTCTCAAACTCCCTGGGCTCAAGCAAGTCCGTCTTCTGCCTCAGCCTCGGGGAGTGCGGAGGTAGCCGAGTAGCGGGACTACAGGCTGCACTGCCAATGCAAGAAGCCGAGATTATTTTTATTCAATAACTTTGACGTTGGTCCAGATAATTTTCCTATTTGTTTTTAGTTAGAAATGGGTCGTCTCGCTTTAGGCCTGGTCCTGAGCTCACAAAATCCTAGAGCGCTCAGAGGAGTCCTCTGACCTCAGGCCTCGCAAGAGTGCTGAGACTTCTAGGCAGTTCTCGAGCTCATATTTTTTAATTTTTTTAAGGAAGCGCCATACTATTTTCCATAAATGACATAACGCATTGTACCAGGTGTACAAGGGTTCCCTTTTCTCCACATCTTTCCCGAATACTTATCTCTTTTGATAATAGCCATCACCTAATCAGGTGTGAGGGATGTCTCTTGTGATCTTTGATTTTGGCATTTCCCTGTTTAGTGCCTTATTACCTTTTTCATATATCCATTGGCCGTTTGAAAACTTATGTTTAAAGAATGCATTATGCAGGGGGCGTGGGTGGCTTGCGCCTGTAATCGAGCACTTCTGGGAGGCCGAGGCAGGTGGATTGCTCAAGGTCAAGTTCGAAACCAGCCTGGAGCAAGAGCGTGGACCTGTCTCTACTATAAATAGAAAGAAATTAATGACCACTAATATATATAGTTGGCATATATATACGGCATGTAGATGGCCATGGGCCTTATAGTCGCCCAAGCTAACTGTGGGAGGCTGGAGGCGGAAGGAATTGGCTGAGCCAGGAGTTTGAGGTTGCTGTTAGCTAGGCTGACGCCATGAACACATTATACCCAACTTCAGATTGTTAAAGAAGGCCTGCTGAATCTATTACGGCTGTTTGCATTATTCTCAAACTTTCAGCACACAGTACAAGGATCAACCGCAGCCACATAGTGACTAGGGCTCATGTCAGTTGCAGATCATAGCAAAAAGGTAGAAACATTGTTTATGGATTTAATTTCATGAGAATTAGTACTGGCGATCCTGGCCATGGATCAGTAAGTACTGGAAGGAAAGCAAGTAAATCGCAAGCGAAACCTTAGTCCTTCAGGAATTTACAGAGGGGTTCACTCCTCTTCTTCTACACTTCATGAACTCTTCTGCATATCAAGTTAATTAAAATTCTAGAAACATATCTATATTATTTCCTCGTAACTGAAATTCCCAAGTAATACTAGAAGATCTCGATCCTTTTAAGAATCAATTATACATTCATAAACGTCGTATATACTTTAATGATAAAGATTGCATGATCTTTGATGTTTCATATGTATTCTTTTTATAGATATGGAGAATTTACAAAAAATTGGGAAAACTCAGGCTGTAAATTATTTGCTCTAGTGAAAGTTAACTGATCATGGTTTAGGGTGTGCTATGCTTAATCTTAAAAAAAGAGTTAATGTTTTACTCAGGTCTTCTTCTTGAATACCACTGCACGGGATTACAATAAGGCAGAAGAGGCCTTGGTTTCCTAATGT